GTGTGTGTGTGTCCAAAAGCTTGCTCTTATCAGCCTTGTGTAACCATTATCTCATATTAAATTTGATTTGGACAAGAGAGCGCAGATCTGCAAATCATAAAATAGAAGCCAAAGCCAAGGTCCATAAACTACAGATATGCAAACTATAACCGTTCTATTTCTTTGCGATTGATTGAAGTCTGAATTTCAGAATACAAAAAAAGATATTTAGATTAATTTCTCATTTTCCAAATTCCAATTGCAAAGACCAAAAGAATTATAAACATGTCAGGACCAGTTGCATATTTAGGTTTTCTCGATTAACATATTACATTTATGTACTAGATTTTCTACTTAAAAAATCTGTTCAGATAAATTTAGAAATGTAAGGGCATAGAAAACTTTATTTTCAATAACAATATAGTTTCAATGTATAAAACTTTTTGCATCAAAGAGTTTCTCAAAAACTCACATGCGCTCCAACTTCCCACGATTAACAAAAAATCCATCATGTTTTATTGCTGAGTTATCAACCTGGAAATAGTCATCCTGCACAAAAAGTAATGATTTTTATTGACTTATCATTTAAACGACTTACTAAAAATTTACAAAACAAATAGATTAACCAATACGAGCAGTTTAAAAAGAATAAATAAAATGGTCGAGTACAGCTAACGGATCAAATTACCCACCAGCTCAGTATCATCTATAAAGGAATCCTCCGTATCATATTCATCATCATCAGGCACATCATCTAGAACAACATCTTCTTCATCACTACTTCCATCACCCTAGAAATACCATGAACAAAAAAACATTGACAAAAATAACTCAGATAATCTGCAGTAACATGATCGAGATTTAAACGTGCTTCAAAATTGGAACTTTAGATATAACTAACGAATAAGATATTAAAACAGATTGCCCTACATTAAATGTGCTTTACAATAACAGTTTATATCACGTTAATCCTTTATAAAATAGAAGCTTATACCCACTAAAAATTCAAAATTAAGATTAAAAATAAAATTCATCCAGCACGTACCGCATACATGCGCTCAATTCTTTCAATCACGTTACTCAGACGATTGGAGCCGGGCTGTGCTTGTGAATCTTTAGCTCCATTTTCGCCAGATTGCTTTAAAGTTGGAGCCCCCGATGGAAGCGCAGGAACAGGAGCAGGAACCGTGTTGTGGACCTCCGTGGACGGGCCGGGCAATGGGCCACTCCCTTTGATCTTACCTGCAGCGGCATCTTTGAGAAGCTTTTTCCACGATACAATAGTGGTTTCGCCGGGCTTCAGCTCCACTGTAAACCGTAGTCGGCCGCCGAATGATTCGTAAGTGGCCTTGGGTTTTGACCCGTGACCCGATTCGGGTTCGCCACCGCCTTCTGCCATGGAATTAGAGTGCGGTATAAAAGAATTTATGTATATATGAATTGAATGAAAATTG